AGCGATAGGCTCTTCTTGGATACCTTCAGCCATAACTTCTTCCACACTTCATTTTAGCATTTATCAGTTAATTCTTGCCAAGCGAAGTCAATATTTCCTATGGCATCCATGATGTTATATTTTTCCAAAATTGCACCAAACAAACATAGATTTAAAGAAAGTACACCTTTTTGCCATCTTTTGCTGATTGGTTTGTGTTTGCAAATAATCATATTATATACGAATCAATGAAATGCTGCAATAATTTAAATCGGCATAAATTTTGTGCTTTTTTTAGGCTTTGAGCAGACTACATTATATCAAATCAGTGTTAAGCAGGGTATTACTGTATACTAAAATTTTTGAATTGTTGTAATTATAGATATTGTTATCAAGTAACATTAGAATTAAAATCAAGTAAAAATATATTTATAAAATTTTGATTATAATCACAGTTTTCAGTTGATATTTTTAAGCTGTTTTTTTTTGCATTATCAGCTTCAACAATTGGCTGATAAAAAAGCATTCATTATCAGTTCTTATTAGTCTTAACCAGTACTTCAAATACTAAACATTCACTTTTTTAATTGTTATTTGCTCATAGTACAGTAGTTTAAACTGCTGAAATTTCTTCTTTCAATTATGGAGTCATAATTAATGGAGTAGCTGTTGTTAAAGTCAGTACTACAAAAGCAACAGGCTAACAACACTAGATGATTATAATTATCTATACTATTATTATAAAGAGGTAATGTTTGTAAGTAAGTTTGTATGTAGCGGGTAATCTCCGAAACTATTCATCCGATTTCAAAAATTCTTTCACCAGTATTTAGAATGGAACTTCAGGGTGGACATAGGCTGTATATTATTCCGGTAAACATTCATATAAATTAAAAGATATCATCTAGGTTAAGGCCTTTATGTCCAACAGATGGCGCTACGAGTATGATGACCTAAATTTGCTTTTCTGTGAGGATGAACTAAAGCAGATCATCTTCTATCTATCTATATAAATAAAAATGTAATGTTCGTTTGTTCCTACCGATTCCTTTGAAATTTTGACACTACGTTGTATTCGAATACGCACATGTTTTTATATAATATACGTGTCGAAATTTTCCCCACTGGGGGGAGATGAACAGGATTAAGGCTTACCTTAAAGAACTTTGCTTCTATTTATACTATTTTAAATGCAATTTTTGCATTTTTGATTGCGTTTTAATAGGGTACGTCAAGAGAATGTACACTAAGAAGGGATTTTTCGAAAATTCCCCCCTCCACGGGGAGGTGTTATACATTTATAATAGATACATTCTGAGCCACAACAACACGTAGCGGTATCTGCTAGTTAATAATAATTGACAAAACTTAGTTATGCATTTTTTAATTGTTCTGACATGTTCTTTTAATAGCAATCAATGAAATCAGAATTTTCATTAGTCATGTAGTCATGGGCATCTGTAGAGGAGGCAAACTTCTTCACTTGCCCTCTTCTATAATCAAGTAAAAGATTCCACAAATTTTAATCATAAAAGTGATTGAGATATGTTAAGTTTACACCTCAACCATGAGATGCTTTGTCTGTCTTTTTATATTTATGTAATATTGTATTCTATAATCTACTTGTGAAAAAACACAAAGTTAAATTATTAAATAAAAATTTATTGAAGTAATCATATCTCCAAGCTTTGCCCTCTGAAAAATTTTCTGCAAATGTCCATGACTGCAGTCTAATTTACTTACCCTGCTTAATATCATCATCATCATCGTCAAGTTCCAAAGTGATAACAATAAGTAAATTATACCATATTTTCAAAAATAAAAAATTATTAGAAGTGAGATCTGGCCTGTGTAAAGAATGTTGAACAATTTATGACCTCGGATCATTAGTTTTTCAGTAATAATGTGTGCTACTTATCTATGTGAAAGTGTATATAAAGAAAAACAAAAGTACATTTTTGTAAATTAAATGATTCCTTCTTAATATATAGTGTAACTTGTGAATTTCTTTCAAGATTTTGCAGCAGTATTTGTTACAAACTACAGAATTACATAGTAAACCATACATACAGTAAACCAAACCACAAATGATATCTCTTGCATCTGAAAAAACATTTCTCATACTGTAGCTTAACCTACTGATAGAAAAATATTCCTTTGCTGCTATATTTTCATTATCTGTTACTGTTACACAAATATAATTTACTACTATAGTATATTCTCATTTAGATTTATACTGACAGGCTAATCTTCAAAAAGTTTCTTGTTCTATCTACTTGATTGCAGAAATAATTATTAATTCAATTTGTACACATGCATCAGTTTTCTACTACCTATAAATGATATTAGATACTTTTGAAATATTACTGACTGTTACTAATATATTTTCAGTTGTATATAATATATTACATAATTGCATTAAATGTTAAAAACATATCATATATTTATTTTAAAAAATTTTAATACAAATAATAGTATATATTCAAATAGATAATATATGGTGTATACAAGAAATTTTTACTGACCAATTCTTTGTTTTCATATTATAATTCAATTAGTTTTAATAAATAACTCATTTTTATTTAATAAATAATCTCAAACTATTTTAATGAAATTCATACATATAATGGAGCTAAAAATTAAGATGACAAAATGAAAATGTTTCTATTTAAAAATTCTTTATCTTTTTATTTAAAAAAAATAAAGAATGAGAGAAAAATGGTAATTTTATAATAAGTTTTAAATGTATACTTTTTAAAGAACAAAATTTTCCCTGACACTGTTTTTAAAAAGCTTTTTTTTTTTTGGATTCAAAAGGACTTTGGCAAAATGTATTTTATGAAGAGCTCTAAAAAAGTAAAGTTATGTATGTCCAGTTAGCTTTTGCAGCTTCACATATAAAATTTATACTTAGTATATCACTTTATCATATGAAGTCCTAGTTTCATATGAACACTCTTCATTGAAAAACTGTTAGGAAGCAAAATTCTGTTAAAAATTAAAATTCTTAGAAAGCAAAATAAAATCATAAATTTGTCTATAAATAATTAGTAGGGTTCCAATTTAATTTTACATGTTTTTCTTGCTGATATGTAAGAAAGTCAAACTTTGATATGTGACTTCCCCCATTGATTTCTGAAGAAAATTATGCTAATTTTATGTAAAATATTTTTCCATATTTTAGTGGTTACTATACATTTCTCCATATTTTTCATCATTTCTGGCATGCCAACTGCATTAGGGTGACTAATTGATAGTTATTAACTGTTGCACAAATTTAAAAAGCTATTAGAGTTTGAGATTAAGCTAACTTAAGTATTCCTTCATGTTTGAATTTTTAATAGTTTTAATGATCATTGTACTGTACATCCATTTACTCAAGCATATTCAAAATTTTTTTATATTTCATAAAATTAAATATAGATTAGTAGCTATCAAACTTCCTGTAAAATATACAATTCAACCAGTTCTGTTTATTGCCTTGCTAGTTCAGATATAACGCCAAAAGAATCCCTTTCATGTAAATTACAATTGTGAACAAAAGAATTCCCAGATGGAACTTTTACTATATGAGTAAATGGAAAGTGGAATACTTGTAGATGGAAAAATATTTTTCTGCCAGCAAAGCAAGAAAATGTACGTACATTGAATACACAGTGAAATATCAAAAATCAGGACTAACCTGAATCCCATACAAATTTTCAAATATACAGTACATATAAATTAACATTTTAAGTATGGTAAACTCCAAATATACTGTAATTCAGGTTTAAATGTTCTAAGTTCAAGTAAGTATTTCACAAGAAATGTAGGAATACTTAAAAAGTTTCAAAATATAATTTACAGAATCACTACATTTAAACAAAACATACACTAATCATAATCTCAAAATTAAAAAATTATGATTTCTAAATGAATGTTAGTACAGTAGAATCTCATTTTAATGGATAGCTTTGGGTGCCAAAAATAATCCATTGTTCTGAGAATCTATTATATCATAAACAATTTCCCACAGATCCAGGAAAATACCTGTTATTTGAAAAAAAAATTTCCATTTTTTAACCCCCTACATATAAGAAATACCTGTACTTGAAATTATTAAGTCTCTTGAGATCTTTATCCTTTATTCTATAGAAACACACGTTACAAGATCATGTAATATGCCATGCAACAAAGCTGACAAACTGTATATACTGTAAGCACAATGAGGCAAAGCACTTCAATCGACTTCACAATTTATTAAAAAATTCATCCATATTGGTTCCTTTATGCTGTTTTTCTGCCTACTGAATACAACCACCACTTGATGTTAGCAATGTCATATACAACCTGTTCGTTTATGCCAAAACTCATCAGGAAAGTCTTCATGACTTCCTAATGAATTTGACCACACTTCGACCAGCATCAGAATATTCACTAGGTAACTCCTCCTCAACTACATCAGTCTGCCAACTTTCTTTGTACAATTCTTCAATTGTACATATCCCAGATGTAACAAGTGCATCATCAAACTACAAATTCCTGGAAACACTCAAATATTAATAAATGTTGAAAAATAATAATATAATCCATTTCAAATGAAACAAGCTACATCATTGGCTTGCTTAGCCAGCTGTATTAAAGCTGCTTTACTAGCAATGTGTCCAATGTGACAGAGTCAGTCAATGTTTAAAGATTACTTCAATTTAATTGCTACAACCACATTCATAACTAGAAGTTAAAAAATAGTAAAAAATGCAGCTCTGAATTGGGCTCGTCATCATTAGATCATTAGAGCTGTAGATCATGTCCCTAAGAGTAAAAAAGTCAAAGATTGTCTGGGGGGGTCGAAACTTTAGGGGGTCCAAGTCCTATTCAGAACTGCAATTTCACTAATGTGTAATAAATATATTTATTAAAATCGTCACGCAAAAATGTTTAAATTTTGGCTTAAACAATTCTTAAATCAATATAACTATAAACGTTACGCAAAAACTTTAAATCCCAAAGAGAATGCTAAACTTTTTAATAAATTAACTCACCTTATCACATAAATAAAAAATTACATAAAATCAACTTTCATTGCGACAAAAGCTATATACGCTGTGATCAATGTAGAAATTACACATAAGGAGAATGAAAAATAAACATTATTAAATTCACACAGTAGCTATATCGAAGCAAAATAAAATAACATCGAAAAAACAGGTGAGCAGAAGAGAGATCAGATAGTAAAGCGCCCCCTGCGATATTTAAATTATACGCATGTATTATAAAAATATATATATTTAATTTATAAAAATAATATTAATTGTTTTATTATAATGTATATAGACAGAAATTATGAAACTTTACGGTAAGAATTTATTTTTTTCCAGAGTTTTTTTTTTAATAACTCTTTCCATCCTGTGGGCACTAAGAGGGCCTCTTTTTGCAAGCCCATTATGGGTGGTGAGGGATGGGGCCTGACATATCCGAACGGACCACCCCGAAAAATTCCTGGGAATTATTTGACTTGTCCGGATTTGCTCACGGGTTCTTCAGAGCGGTAGTCTGCCACCTTGACCGCTCATACAGCCGTCGGATGGGACGGTTTTTTAGTATAGATAATGTGAGATCCGACCTCAGAATAAGCCCAAAATTGTTCATTTTCTCCCTAAATTTTCGACGTATTTAAAATAAATTTGTCGCCTCCTCGTTAAAATAACATTGTCAGAAAAAAGAATCAAATATCGATCGCAACTTATAACTTTCATCGTTAATATAAACATTCAACCCTCGAACAATGACATTCCTCTGCTGCAAGACAGAAAGTTTAAAGTCCGAATTCGTCATTTTGTTTTGGTCCCGGGAACAACTTTGACCTCCACACCTGCAGGACCAACTCTATCTCACACTATAGGAGATTACCTGACTGATTTTACCTGACTGATTTTCCCAGTCCGAAGCTATAAAAGCGACTTCTTTTCCCCTCCTCGGGGGAGTCTCACATCTACGGTCAAAAAGGATTAAGTCTCCGGGAAACTTTAACTTTGTGCGGCGAACTCTGTGCCTACATTGAAATTGACTAGAGGTATGAACAAATAATTGTAAACTCTCCGCGAGTTAGGAGCTAATAGTGAGCTAAATTCATTTCCCCATGTTAGATTTTGTAACCTATTTTTTGTTTCGTTAATCTAATAAATCGTTGTTTCATTGTTAAATGGCGTCCTTTTACTCGTATATCGCCTACGCCTCGTCGACGACCCCTCTCACCTCCTCCACTCGACCTGACAAAAAGTATACCGATCCTTCGGGACCGCATTCGAAATTTAGCCATCTTGACAAGTGAGCAGGTTTAACGACCTGTAGCCGAAAAGGGAGAGTCGACGGTTTCCGACCTCCCCGGCGGTTCACAATAATATAATCGTTCCATCCTTTTTCCATTACACCTCTCGACCGAATAGCCGAGAGGTTAAGACGCTCTGGAGATCCGGACGAGTCAAAATTCCGAAGAATTATTTTTGTGGTGGTCCGTCTAGATATATCGGGTTCCGTTCTTTAATACTCTCCCGCGGAGGGAAATTTCCAAAATCCCCTTTTTAGTGTGCCTTCTCATGACGTACCCTAAATTTGTACCAAATTTCAACTTCTAACAGTTTGGACTATGCGCTTATTATTATTATTATTATTATGTTGGGTTTTGTGAGTTATACTCGGTTCACACCGGTGGCTGTGTACTATGCCGGACCAGAGTCAAGGCATAGCAACCAAAACAAAACTAAAATTAAATGGGTGTGTCAGTGTCAGTGTCTGTATTAAGGAATTTCCTAACAGTATGGCATGTATTCAATATAGTGGCCTTCTGTAGTGTGATGTATGTATTTCTACTCAATTGTAATGTTCCCAGGCTTTTGTGTAGCGTGTGTGGTATCACACCTGTACAGGAGAGAACGACAGGTACAATAAGCACCCTATCCATCTTCCACAGATGCCTGATTTCCTGGGCGAGTTCTGTGTACTTTTTCAGTGCATGTGTTTTGAACATTGTGAGTGTTTGGAATGGCTATGTCTATAATGTATGTGATTTTATTGTGTTTGTCAATGAGTGTGATGTCTGGTCTGTTGTGGTAAATTGTTTTATCTGTGATTATGGCTCTGTCGTAATACATTTTGTGCGTGTTATTTTCCAGTACTGTCTGTGGAATATACTTGTAGTATGATTCGTGGATGTCTGCCAATTTGTGTTTCTTTGCAAGCTCTTGGTATATTATATTTGCTACTTGATTGTGTCTATGTAAGTAATCTGTCTGTGCCAAGAGCTTGCACCCAGAAGTGATGTGTTGTATAGTTTCTGGCATGATGTGACATTTTCTGCATGTGTCATTTGTGAGTGTTGTATCTTTAAGTATGTGTTTTCTGTAGTTTTTAGTATTTATGACCTGATCCTGTATGGCAATCATGAATCCTTCCGTCTCCCCAAAGAGGCGTCCCCGATCTAACCAGCTGTTTGACGCAGTTTTGTCAACAAAATCCTGGGCCAGGTCATAAGGATGCCTGCCATGGAGAGCCTTTTGAGCCCATAATTGCTTAATGTTGTCTATGCTTTTTATGTGTTGTGTCATGTCTGTGTGTTGTGAGTGTAAGTTTAATGGTGTGCTATTTAAGTCTGCTAGAGTTACTGCTTTATGTAATTGTGATGTTTCTTGTTTCCTGTAGAAAAACTCTCGCAGTGACTGTATTTGTTTGTAGTGAAGGTTAACTATGTCAATCAGACCACGTCCGCCATCTTTACTTAGAAGGGTTAATCTTTCTGTGGCGGATTTAGGATGATTTTGTTTATGCTTAGTAAGTGTTGTTCTTGTTTTCCTTTGGAGTTGCTCGAGATCTGTGTGAGTCCAATGTATAACTCCGAAAGAGTATGTGAGTACTGGGATGACATATGTGTTTATTGCTTTAACTGTGTGTTTTGCATTTAACTGTGTTCTAAGTATAGCGTTTAACCTACTTTGGTATTCTTTAATTAATCGTTGCTTTATTTGTGTATGTTCTGTTAGTTTGGCCTGTTGGAATCCTAAGTACTTGTAGAACTCGCCCTCTTCCATGGATTCAATAACGTCTCCATTTCCAAGTACAAAATCTTTCTTCAGGATTCCTTTTTCTTTGTGAAGTTTTTTGCATTTGTCTAAGCCAAACTCCATTTGTATGTCCTTAGTGTATGAGTGTGTGATTTGTAGGAGTTGATGAAGTTGTTTCTGTGTGGATGCATAAAGTTTTATGTCGTCCATGTACATGAGATGTGACAGTGTAAACTGTGTTGTTTTTCGTGTCTGATATTGTAGCCGTATTGCGTGTTGTTTAACATGTTGGATAATGGATTCAGGGCTAGGCAGAACCAGAGAGGACTCAAGGAATCTCCTTGAAAAATTCCTCGCCTAATGAATATTTCGTTTGTTTGTATGGAAGTGTTACTAACCCTGAGATGTAGTGTTGTTCTCCAGTGCTGCATAGTGTTTTGGAAGAATGCAATGAGTGATGGATATATTTTGTACATGTGTAGAATATGTAGCAGCCAACTGTGTGGAACACTGTCAAATGCTTTTCTGTAGTCTATATTTATTATTATTATTACAGTATTACGAACTCATCTCGATTATATTAAAATATTGGCAACCGTTTTACGGAATTTGAAAGTTTTAAAATTTTAAATAAAAGCTATTTTCAATTTTGTGATTTTTATATTTGCACATTTGATACACACGAACTTCCATACACTCAATTTTATTTTTATAGCAACAGGAAATAATTGTTAATTCGATCTCGGATAGTTCTAAATCCCGTTAGTTCGTAACTGTACTTTTGTCCCAGCCGGAGATATAGAGATTTGTAGTGTTTCTCAAACGGGATTCCGGGATCCCGATTGTTTTTTTAACCCGGGAAATTTTTCTTATCCCGGGAAATCCCACAAATTTCTTAAAAATTCACTTTTTTTCTTATTTTGTGTTAAGGTTAAGAAATTTTGCAAATAGAAAACATAATTATCTCATTCACTGTCAGAATACATTTGTATTTATTAATTTTAAATCTACCTATTATTTTTTTTTTTTTAATTTTTGCTCGTTACGGCATGTCACAAATGGTCGATAATCAATACGTAGCTTATTTGTGGCAGGACTCTGAAAATTCTTTACTTGTCAGAACCTGTAATATATGGAATAATTGTGCTTACGCTGTCTTAATTTTTAACCATACCCAGTAGCTTCAATAAATGCGTGACGCCAGATTGTGCAAATTGAGCAAAGATACAAACGAGTATAATGTCTACAAGTATGAAGTTTTTCTTCATAAACCTGATTATTAAAGCCAAACGAATTGCCGAATTATTGAGCTATAAGCT